TTTTTTTTTTGGCAGAACCAGAGATTGAACTCAGGCCCTTGCACTTGCCAGAGAAGTGCTTATTCTACTGAGCCATCTCCCCAGCCCCTGTTCCTGGTATTGAGGCCACAGACGACGCATGTTATTTTATCCATACCAGGAGACCACCTCATGGCTGAGTTTCAGTTTGTTGACTTGTCTTTTGCTTTGCAGAAAGCACAACTGAAGAGATTGAGCTGCAAGATGTTGAGTGTTAGCCAAGGCTGGGCCCAGTTACATTCCTACCTCAAGAGGAAAACATTTTCTAGCCGAAGGAACAAACAGCCAACTGGCTCTACAGCTTCCTGTGGTCCTGCCATTCTGCCCACCCCATGGGATGGCCTGAAGGTAACACAGCTGACTGCACTGAGTGAAAGACCACGGATTCGACAGAGTCAGTTCTAGGACCTGCACTGAGCTCTGGAAGAGAGACACTGAGGCTTTCAACCAGGAGCTTTGCTTGGCTGCAGCTTCAGGACGCTGGCTGTGGCCCCCGCCTGGCACACTAGAGGAGTCTCTATGTCCAAGACTCCTGATACACAGTGAGCACTGGAACACACCCTCTGTGCCTCTGTGCTCCTGTCCGCTCCACACACTGCCGCGCCCTCCAAACCCCTTTCTTGATGAACCCCAGCATCAGCACTGTGGGAGGTCCTGAAAAAGCCTGAGGCACTTAGACAATGCTGCCTCATATCCAGAGGCAAAAAGAGCCTTGGGGGTGGGTGAAGAGCGCTGTTGTGCTGAGTGGATTTGCTCAGAGGTGAGACCTAGTGGTTAGGAGCTTTAGGGAGAGGAGCTCAAGGTACCCCTGAGAGACTAGCTTTGGACACAGAGGCAAGGACAATGTCTTTTCTCTTTGTCTCTTGTTCTGAACTTAGTTGCATCTTTCCTCATGTCCCAAACTTAGGGCAGTGTGAAGAAGATGAAGCTCATGTCCACTACGGGCAGCCTCTGGCCTCCTGGCAGCTGCACGATATCATTGTGGATGCTGAGCCTGCACAGTAGGGCGTGCAACTGCAGCCCTGGGCTTCAGTTCTGTTCCTGTTGCCAACACTGCATGACTTGCTGCTCTCTTGCTTGGGCTGAGGAACACAGGGGTGTCTCCTACCTCACAGTAGGGCACCAAGAGAAGCACCCAGTATACCCAAAGCATCCTGAGCAGCTTAGGAAAAGCATAAGAGCTCTTCAAGGGTCTGGAGAGCTATACTGGGAAATGCTATACCAAATACTGGAAGCTAAAATGACCTGAGTTGTGGCTCTAGTGCAGAGTAGATATTGGGTTCTGGCTGGTGTCTGTCGGTCACAGCATTTACCAGGAAGTTTTGCATCCCAGCTTCCATTTGGCAAGCTCTAAAAGCAGGCACGAGTGTATTTTTCATTCTCTCTTCTCTCTTTGATATTCCCAGCGACAACCAAAGTTAGCACCCTGGTTCTGATGGAGGTTGAGGTCATTACCTGTGTTTCCAGGCCTCAATTGCAAATTCGTATGTGCAAAGACATGCTAGAATATTCCTTTGTTTCTCCTTCAGGTCCCAATGTCCTTAGCTTTTCTGTTTCTTGTGTGGAAGATAAAGGGTCATCTGGAGAACTTAGTCGAGGTCTTTCCCTAAATAATAAAGCCAAAGATAGAGGAAGGGATTATTTGGACTATTCAGACAGAGACTAGCAGTAACTGCAGAAGGGTTCCAAAAGCACCAGCATACTTGGTTAAAAAGGCCAAAGAACAAAGTCTAGGGGCCAGGGAGATGGCTCAGTGGAATAAGCGCTTCCCTGGCAAGCGCATGGGCCTGAGTTCAATCCCTGGTTCCGCGAAAAAAAAGAACAAAGTCTACACATCACCTCTGGCAACTGACACACAGAAGATACCCCTTGGGCCACATCCTGTGTACACACATGTAAACACACATGCCTGCACTCCCTCTAAGGTCAGCAGTGGAGAAGCCCGACCCTGTGCCAAGGCGTTTTGCATACGTGGTGTGAGAATCAGGGCGCAGAGCACTTGCAAAAAAGGAAGACTTAAGGATGACTGGGCTTTATCTTCCTCCTTTCTCAGGAAGCCCAGCAACATGAAATGGGTTTGGAGCCGGGTAGCTGCTGGACCTTACACCACCTCACCAGAGCACTACCCCTCAGCTGTGAGCAGCAGGGCTAGGAAGCACCCCCATAAAAGAAATGGAAAAGGCATGCAGAGGGGCCCTCTGGGAGCAAATTCAGATGCAAATTAAATCGCTTCCAAACAATGTCCAAGTTTCCATTTCTTTGAAAAGAGGATTTTATGTATGCATTCCAAAAACTCCTGAACTTTAAAATCCAGAGGCTGTTTTTGTCTTGTTTTTTAAAAAGAGATTATTAAATCATAAGAGATTGGCCAATGTAAAGTGATGCTCTGTTTCAAACTGTGAAACCACGTTTTTAAAAAAATGAATGAAAAAAAAAAAACCATGCATATAAAGTCTTGGTCTCTGTGAGAACCCAATCCTCCTGCCAATAATTCCTTGGGTGGTGATTCCACTCAGTGCTGAGGATACAGAAAATCCTCAACCACAGCCAGGGGTTGGCACATCTTTCAAATGACATTGGAATGAACCACATTAGTTCTTAATGCTTTTTAGCAATTCAGGAAAATAATACCTTATTAATACCACAATTCTCCCTATTTTGTGGCCAGAAAACCAGCTTGAAGTTTGTGCTTCCAGAATATTAGTTGTATCTCCATAGGATCCTTTCTCCTTTTGGAAGAGGCCGAGGACTAGGATGTGATGGATGCACCTGAGTTCAGTGGTACAAAAGGTGCCCAGCAGAGCTCTCATGCTTTTTCTTTCAGGTACTCTCAGAGCATCATCTAAGAACCCAAGAAGGTAGACATTGTCCTCTCTCATGTCATGGTACTCTGGGTGTGAAGCAGAGCTAGAACAGAGAACTCAAGTCGTCTGAAGCCTGAAGGCGAGTACCTTCAGGCCTTCAGGCTGACTGTGATTTAGAACACCACACAAAGGTGAGGAGCAAAGCAGTGCGAGGTCGGTCCTGTCCAATGAGCGAATGTAGGGTGAAGGTCCAAGGAGGAAAGTATTCAGGAGAGCTGGAGCAACACAACAGTGAGTAAAGAAAAGGAGGTAGGAGGGAGCGCCCAGCTGTAAGCAAGGACTCAAATAGGAGGAGTTGGAGAACTCATACTGAGCCTCTGACAGTCTGGAAGAGATATCAGGAAGTGGGCACACTTGCCTTTGCCACCTTTTGTGTTTTTGTAGTTTCTTGTGCCCAATTTTCAGGAAAGCAAAAGCTACATCTCTAGTTTATTGAAAGCAGAGCAAATACTTATGGTTAGCCTCACCTATATCAGGCATCAATGAAGAACAGGATGAGGGACATGAAACTGAACAAATTATAGACAAAGACAGGGAGAACTAAATGGGAGAGGGAGGCCATAGAGCATGGCTTTCAAAAAGCAATGAATAAACTCCAGTCTTTACATTCACAAAAGCACTCACGGTCTTTATAGATGAAACATTTATAAATGGGAAGACTGGACATTTTGAAATGTTTCCTCCAGATCACAAACTTGATGTTCTGTTTTTCAAACCTCTGATTGCTTGACTCTTCAAATGACAGTTGCTTAATGTTTTTTATTTGCAGAGTGTTAGAAATTATCATTCTTAGGGCCGGCCAAATACCTCAGCTGGGGGCTGGGGAGATAGCTCAGTAGAATAAGTGCTACTCTGGCAAGCACAAGGGCCTGAGTTCAATCCCCAGTTTCGCCCCCCAAAAAAACCAAAACAAAAACCCAAGTATCTCAGTGGATTAAAGCACTTGCAAGCTGGTGAAGGGGCTGGGGTTCAATCACCAGGCCTGCAGTGCCAGCCCCGCCCCCGGGGTGCTCTGAGACTGCATTTGAGACGGTGTGGTGGCGCACACCTATAATTCCAGCTCTTGGGAGGCTGTAAACAGGTGAATCGCTATAACTCTGATATAGTAGTGAGACCCTGAACACCCTATAAACCCTGCCCTTAAAAAAAAAAAAAACATTCTTTACCATCCTTATCCAAGGCTTGGAGTTCAGCTCAGAAGGTGTCTCTGGCCCCCATTCTACGCAAGGGAACTGGATTAGAGGGTGATCTCTCCAGGTTCATACTGCTAGCCAATAACAGAGCCAACATCCCGATGTAGCCTCTTTGCTGAGCTGTCAAATGCCAGTTAAGGAAGGTTTTCTCCTGTCTCCCTCGTGTCACATCCCGCCAGATCCAGGCAGTTCAGACTGGACCATGAAACTGGAACACAGAATAAGCTCAAGACACAAGAGTCCCTGGTGTAAAAATGAAGCTGTTGTTTCACATTCGTTCCAGTGCCTATGATTTTTTAAAAAATGGGTAACGCTATTCCCTAGCCAGTGACATAGGAAAGGAGGGTTTATGCTCCCGATAATCTTGTTTCGCTCAGATAGAATTTACAATAACAGGCAATGGTATCTATGTGTGGGTCCTTATCCACTGTAATCAAAGCATAGTGCCGAGCTGGGGATTAGCTCAGTGGCACAAGTGCCTGCCTGGAGAGTGCTAGGTCCCGAGTTGGATTCCTGGTACAAGTAAACAAACATACGGAGCTGATCCGTAAGTTATTATGGATTCATGACAGCATAAACACAGAAACAAAGCATCCTGAGAATTTCATATTTGACAGTAGTTTTATGTATATGAAAATCAAATAAAACGTGTTTTTCATGTTTTTGGAGGGGTAGTACCAAGGGTTCACAGGCCTTGCACCGAGCTACTCCCCCCCAGCACACCTTTGCAGTACTAGGGATTGAACATGGCCTTACATGTGCCACTGAACTACATCCCCAGCTATTTTTTAAGACAGGGTCTAAGTGTCAGGCTAGCCTCAAATCTGTGATCCTCCTGCCTTACCCTTTTGAATAGCTCAGATTAGACACATATGACCATGTCCAGTTTAATTCTTTTTTCTAGTAACTTTTACTAACTTGCTAAAGTACCAATCTACAAAAGAGAAAAAGACAACAACAACAAAAAAGAGCATGGCACACATCTGTAATCCCAGGATTCTCGGGCACTGAAGCAGAAAGATCACAGGTCTGAGCCCAGCCTGGGTGATTTGGTGACTGTCTCAAAATACAATATTTTAAAAGGGCTGGAGTTCTAGTAGCTGGGTTGAATGATTCTAAAACTGAGAGTGCCACTCCCAGAAAGCGAATGGGCAGAAGGTGATCTGAGAACTCCTTGTCCACTTTAGTGCATGAAGACAGCCTGCCCTCCAATGAAGAGTGGGGTGGGGGGGTGCAGATTTTGGTGCCAGGGCTGCGTAGATATTATATCCAGGTGCTCAAAAGCCTAAAGGAAAACTTTTGCTACCTCCTCTGTGATGACACCCCAGTGTACAGTTTCCTCTGGGCCGAATTTACCAAGGAAAATGGGTAACAAATATCTCAGGCTTGTTCGGTGAATGTATTTCACATTTGTCACTCTTGTTACATTGCATATAATAAAAAGGAACAGAAAAAATAGGATAATCATTTTCACTTAATTTTTTCTTCTAGCAGGTAAATGTAGGTAGCAGTGCTGGGTAACTTCCACTTCCCATACGTTGACATACAAAAGGCCTAATATTCTACCTTCAGACAAAAGTGGAATCTCTAATGATGCCGCTATGTATTTATAAATAATTGGATAAAATAGCTTTTTTAAAAAGGGAGCTGGAGAGCTGGGGAGACAGCTTGGTGGTCCACATGCCTGCCTGGCAAGCTCAAGGACCCACATTCAATTTCTAGTACCGCACGCCGAGCTGGCCTTGCGCAGAGCTGGCCTTGCACCGAGCTGGCCACCGAAACTGGGTGTGGTGGCATACGCTTGCAATCCTAGTGCTGGGGAGGGAGGCTGAGACAGGAGGATCACTGAGTCTGAACTGTATAGCAGAGACCCTGTACCAAATAAATAAAAGATTAAAAAAATCATAATAAAATAAAAATAGGGGGCTAGAGGCTGGGGATGTCACTGGACATACAAGTTCTCAGTTCAATCTTCTGCAAAAGATAATTCAAAACAAAAACACCAAAATCTGGTCTCTCTATACACTTGTACTAATATGAGCTTACAAAATCTGTGAAAAGCTAGCAAGTAGTCACATCATTAGCCAAGGCAAATTCTGTGGGTGACAATATTTGAGGCATTAGTTTTTTTGTTTTTTTTTTTTTTTTCCTCTTCAGTACCAGGGACCAAACCTGTGAACGCTGCACTTGCCAGGCAGGTGCTTATGCCACTGAGCTACACTCCTGGCCTTCCTGAAGCAGTAGGTTTTATTTATTTATATTAAATTATTTATTACATTTATTCATTGTGTGTGTGTGTGGCCAGTTCAGCCCACCAGGGGGCGGGGCTGGCTGGTATGTGGTGCTGGGGGATTGAACCGTGGTCCCTGTGCTTTGCCAAGCTTGTTCCAAGTAGGTGCTTTAGACCACTGAGCCAT